CATTATTAATTTGCTGTTAAATGCTTAAATGTAATTCATAACTTTTAGTGCTTGTTCATGATTACTAGTACTTTAGATACTTTCAAATGTTACTTCATCACTTCGTTCAAAAAAAACAATCAATTTGATTTTAATGAGAAGATTAAGTGTCTAGAAATTATTCTTTATTTTAAAAATATCAATTCATATCACTGAAAAGATAATAAATTATCTATCTCGAGCCTCTAAAATTATCAACATTCAAATTCATTCCTACCTGCATATCTATTATTAAACTAATCAACTAATAAAGTAAATAATAATCATATTTTCATTACTAAAATACTTCAGAAATAATTCTCAAAGTTGTGAACAGAGGCCGTCATTCAACTGAAGTGTACATGGATCTGATTACATCTGAATCTTTTGAAGTTCAAAGTATGTATAAATGAACTCTAATTCCGTATACTGGGAGCTTTAAGATAGACATCAGAATAGATAATTTTACTACTGACTTTTTACGGAATCGTAATGTTGTATTCCTGAGTGATATCAAAGTAGACTATCTCTAGACACTCTCCGGCTCACAATGGTTTACAAGCTGAGAGCTTGAGAGAACCTCTCTAAAAATGTGAATAAATATCAGTGCAGGTGTCAATTTTTATTTGTTAGGATATTAGCCTGAATTAAACATACAATGCAATTAGTCGGTTATGTAAACTATTTGTAACATTTCGATTTTAAAATACTTTCAAATGTTCTTCATAGAGTAGGTTATTAACCAACCAATGACAAGTGCTATTTAGTTAAAATTATTCAAAGTTCAGCTATTAAACAATATAGAAAATGTACAACAAATTATGTTCTGAGGTACAGTAATTTAATCTACTTCTCAAATGAATTTTAAACTCTTGATAGTGTTTTATTTCTAGCATTTTTTTTGAGTAAAATTAGTTCCAGAGTCTTTCCCTACAATATAAATATTCTATTACATCCAGTCTAGAGTAAATTAGATTGTTGACAGTCTTATTTAGAAAATGACATCAAGTCAATAGGGAAAATGGTTACTTTTTAACTTACCAATAGACAGTGCCTGGATATATCCCTTTTCTCATCTAAACAAGAGATTTTCATTTAAAATGTAACAGTTTGAATGATGGAAAATTATAGAAAATAACAAACAAACTAATTTGAAATGTTTGTATAAGAAAAAGTCTATTTAACTTTGTAGGTTACTCATAGAATAAAATTTCATTCTGCTTACCTACCAGAATAATGAACAGATGGTTTGATTAAACTAATTTTAACGTCAATTATCTTCATCCTTACGATTATTGAATTATCTTTAACTGTTTACCTATTAAGTCATCGTTCCATTTCATTACCGTGATTCATTGAATACCAAAACACCAATTTTATGATTTTATTTAACCTGATCAATATGAGACGAATTTATCTGCATGAGTTTATCAATCTTCAAATAATAACTATCCAATATTCCTTATGTTATTCTGTTTCGTTCTCAAAATTGAATTTTATTTTTCGCAATCAAAAGACTAGCCTAGAAAATGAAAGGTGAATATGTTTAAGAAAAGAATCCTGTTTTCAAATGGCATAAAAAATATTCAGTTAACTGAAGATTTAACTTATCAATGCCTACAGAAAAATGACGAATACAGACAATTCTTTCTGCCCTACTAGGTCCGGATTTCGATTAAAAACTCTATTCTGTCGACAAACGAGCTATTATTGATAGGTATTCGTCACTTTTTAGTACTTCTTAAGAACCTTGAGTGCAAGTGTAATATATGGTTTGCATTGTGAACAAACTGAAAATCACATATGTCAAAAGTATTTAAATCAGTTATTTAATTAAATAAAACCCGAATAAGTTGTTAAATAGTTTGAGTATTAGAATTTTGGAAAGCTAATAACCTGAATGTGAACAAACGGGTGTAAATAAACACGGTAGTACAAAATAGAATTGTTTGTATGAATGTGCTGATAAGTTGTGAAATCGCTTAATGAGTAAGTTATTCACATTGGTTAATACGTTTGTTATAGTTTGTGTAAATTTGTGACACAGCATAGGCATTATATAGTTTAGTCAAGTAATCGTTTAAGAAACACCCTCTCATGATAAGATTTACACTCTTGTGATAAGTGGTTGATAAGAAATGTTCATATACGAGTTTATCCTTCGAAATCTCAAACATCATACATGCCACATGTTAAGAATGATGCTTTTTTTAACTTCCATGGATGAATTATTCTTAGCATCTCATCGCATGACAAACCTACTAGTAAGTAGTAGTCAGCAACAGGAAAAGCCATAAGAATGTAAATAAGCTTTGAATGACTGTAGTTAATAAGATGACGTTGAAGTCATTGTTAAGCCAATGAGACATTAAATATTCTAAATATTAAATCAACAAGCAATATATATATGCAGAAATCAAATAACCCGAGATAAGTTTACTGAAAATCAAATGGAAAAAGTTATCAAAGGTATAGTTGATGGAAATATCGAATCCTATTTATTTATTTAAAACCCGAAAGATGAATTCATTATAAATGAAAATACTCTGCGATGGTATTCGGGTTATTAGTCAGAGTCACTGAACACCAGTTATAGCCTTGGATTAAAATGTCACTTTGGTTACGATGTAATTGTTTACCCAATAATGATAGATAAAAATACAGTATATGATAAATACAAGTTATTAGAACAACACATATAAGCGAACAATATTGTTTTCGATTAGATCGTCATCAGGCTTTACTCTAATATACATGAATATTTATATGAAAATGTTAAACCAATCAAGGCAATTTGAGTGATAATCACAATGAAAATGAGTGAACATCTCCCAGCATGGTTTACGAAGGGTCAGTCAAAAACAATACGCAGTTCTATCTTAGCACACCTGGTAGATAGTGGTCACATTGTAGATAAATCTAGATCTTTTCGGGTGATCTATCGTATACCTCCATCATTTCCCAACGGAGTTCGATCCCGTCTCCTGCACATTGCAGAAGCCATAGGAATACGTACATTCAACCCTAATTTATGTGTTCAGAAGAAATTCGTGACACCCCTATCTCTTCCGTGGCCGGATATGACGTAACTAATGATTGACATATTTTTATTTTTATTTTTATTTTTATTATTTTTGATTTATTATTTTATTTTATTTTTACACATTTGCTTATTACGTAATGTTTTTGACGTTTTTGATGATTATTTGAATTCTATTCACCCACCCTTGACCTACTTTAGTTATCATATTTTACAAATTTTCTTACTACTATCAGTACACCTGTTTTCCTATTATCCACTTGAACTTTTGCCTATTAGATGTAGTTACGTAATCTTTTTCATTTCATTGTGATTATCACTCAAATCGCCTTGATTGGTTTAACATTTTCATATAAATATTCATGTATATTAGAGTAAAGCCTGATGACGATCTAATCGAAAACAATATTGTTCGCTTATATGTGTTGTTCTAATTTTCACAATGGGAATCTTTAAAATACAAGTTATTCACTACAATACAGGCAATAATATATTTCCCTTTTTGTTCCTGTATAATCTTTCATAACCAACTAGATATGACTGATTTGACATGACATATATTTATTTTTATGATACCTTTCAAATACTGTTGAAAAGAATTTTTTGCCTAGCAATAGCATACCTATAAAAGCTATGTACTAATTATTGATTAGCATTAAACTATAAATAAAGCATTTCACTCGAGAGTTATAACAAGAACCAACAGTTATTTATTAGTTTCTGGTCAATCGTAATGCACTTCTGGTAGGATATATTTTATTTTATACCAAACTGACAAATATTTCCAATAAAAATCTTGAGCTTAGTAGATTGGATTTGTCTTCTGTTACGTGCTAGAAGTGATGTACAAAACGAGCATCGAGTTCAAGATGTACGTTTCTATAAACCTTTTGCTAGATAATTTCATTTTATTAGTTCTAAGGACTTTACTATATATTTCACATACATAATGGTAAGTGATTATGTTTTTATTTTACAGATTAGGCATATATTGAATGTGTGAAGCACATACTTTATCATGCTCAGCAGTTACATTTTCTGAATTTGAATGTACAGTTTTTCACTAACTCTGACTGTTATAAACTCCTGTGATAGTAAATAATTTAATTAGATACTTTGTATTACTACTGTACTTATGTTAAAACGGGTTACTTGAGACCTAAATAGTTACCATTACTCCTACACTACGCTATAGATTAACTAATCAGCATATATACATAATAATGAACTGTTAATACATCGGCTTCTTTCTAATCAATAACTTTAAATATATATTTAATAATTTTCTGTATTCCTTCAGTTGTCATATAAATAAAAATGTAGAAAGATACTTTACATTTGCTACAATGTTATATAAGACATAAATTGCATCCATTTACTTGATAATGAAAAAGTTATCTGAAGTCAAAACTTTTCTTTATAAAAATAATTCAACTTTCTTCTAATTACATCTACAAAGTATAATAGGCAGCTATATGTGAGAAATTTATCTTCATCTTATCACTGTAATTAGTTTATAAGTAAAGTGAATTTCTTCTTCTTTGAAATTCATCATTGATATAACTTGAAATGATTTATAAAAAGTAAATAAATTTAATCAATAAAATCTTTTTTACTGCATTTTATGGTACTAATATACATTACTCAAAACGATTTGAAAAATAAGTTATCGATTATTTTCCGAAAATGTTTTTTACACTGAAAAATGAGATTGCAAACTTGTTTTTTTGAAGCACTTGATGAAAAACTTTTTAAAATGCCAAGCTTCCTTGTCAATAACACACAATACTAGGAAACGAATATCAGACTAACCATAATTTTCTTTTATGTAATAACATGTGCTTCTGGTGTTGTTGTTTATTATTTCTGATATTTGTTCGTGAATATTTACCTTGTGAATATAGAAATCTCTTATCATTCATTTTATTTAAATTATTTTTAGGTTATGGACACGCTACACCTAAAACAAATCTCGGTAAATTTACGACCATACTTTATGCACTCATTGGAATCCCTTTAATGTTTTTATACCTTTCTAATATTGGTGATTATTTGGCTGATATATTTCGAGTAATTTATTCACGTACATGTCGAACAAAATGTGAACAATTTTGTTCCGCTTCAATATTCAATAGTCATAATGTTAACAAGCAACTAGAACAAATGAATAAAAATCTACAAGACGCTGAACAAATTGACAATGATCCAATCGTCAATCCAACACATTCACATGGTCGTAGACGTAAACGTATTCTTCTTCTACCATTCAATACAAACATTAACAATAATAATACTTCTATGACTAATCATACTTCTGATGATCGTACTAATATCAAAGCGAATTGTACAAATAAAAAAATACAAAATGATTTAGTGAATTTACACGAAATCGACAATAAAACAATTATAACAACATCAGGAAAAGAACTAAATAATAAGCAAAAAGAAATATTTGATAATCTAAAAGTTAAACAATATTATATGAAACTTTTAACATTTTCGCAAAAATTTCGTGCACATATTAAACAATCTCGTATGATGACATTTTTTCGATCAGATAATACAAATGCATTAGCTCAAGTAAGTACATTTTAATTAGCACGAATAGTATGATTTTTAAATGTAGGAAAATTTCTAGAACCTAATACGTTATATCCACACAAAATAAAAAACGTTTATATATATATATATATATATATATATATATATATATATACTCAATCTGACCGGAGTATAGTGTTTTAACGAAAGCATTAACAGTTATTGATAATCTATATTTTAAAACTTATGAATATATCACCACTGTATTATTCATCATACTGTTCAAATAGTAAATGCGTTATATAACTGGTAGAGTAATCTTTATCAAAAATATCCATCTAGCTATATGCAGTGAGTTCCACAAGCATTGTAAAATGTTATACCAAAGTGACTGATTAGTATTCAGAGCATCTGTATGAAATAAATACTTTATTCTGTACGATTAAACATCTAATCAACCAACTACAACATTAATTATCTCTGTTAAATCACAAGTATATCAAGAAACACTAAGAAGTTATTATTTTTATGAAAGTTTGTTAGATAGAAATGTTAATAATTTAAGTCGTAATCAGATGTCTCTTTGAGAATGTTTGAAAACTGTAGAAAAATAAACGCTGATATCAATGGCTGAACAAATAATAGGGTTTCAACTCATTAATCAAATACGTAATATCATCGAATCGATTTGAAGACTCTGGGTTCAGTAATGCATGATATCGAGGGTGCACTATCAGGATACACTTCAAATTAACATAAAAATAGATTTTTTTAAAACATCTTGACTTTCATAGTTTTTCTAGTTGATATCAGTTGTTGATAAATATTGACTTCAAGTAGATCGTCGCTTTTTATAAGTTAATTTTACATAGATCACCGTTATGCTGTTTAATGTCATCTATCATGTATGTCTTATGACAGTTAACACCACTGACTGATAACTTCATCTAAATCTTAACAGTAAATCTTATTTATTACCAGATGACCTAAATAACAATTGTGTAAGATGAGATCGATACCTGCAATCAGTATGAAATAAATAAATTAATTACTTTAGATAAAATGCTTCGTTGAAAATGAAGGATAAAAACGTGAAGAGAACATAAATAAATAATTTTTTGACATGTACATCAGTAAATTAAAAGTTCACACTTCAAGAGTAAATAAACACATTTAATGATCAACTTTATAGTATCGTTTCAATAATTCTTTAATTAATATTAATTTGTAATGAAAATTTATATCTACACAAAGGGTTCAGCTAAAAAAAATCATTTTGATTTAGTTGTAGTTAACTCAACTGAAGTATTCTTGGTTAAAAACTATGTTTTAAATGTTAACAGCATAAATTTAATTAGTAAACTATACAATAATGTTATGACAGTTGTTTTATAAAATAGAAATTTTCATCTCTAATCAATTCACATAATTTGTTAATTTGTATTATCCTCATAAGAAAGCAAAGTGTGCTTTAAACAAAACACTTTGATTTATGAATACAAAGTACACCGTTTTGAAATAAACATTGATAAAAGTATAAAAACCTAAATAAATTATAAACAATAACATTCTAAGTGAAACAAAGATGGTTGAAAGTTAAACTTACATTCTTACATGATATTTGATGCTGTGAATATACCTTCAGTAAGTTTCTTTCAGTGTAAACTAATTAATTAGCTAAACAATTTGATTGGTAGTTATGAAAAAAAATAAATCTCTGATCAAATTCATGTAAACTTTAATTTTACGACGATTGGTTTACATTTCTTAAAGTGATTTCTTTGATTGACTTTCTATTATGTTCTGTTAACGTTTTACCATGAAAGATATTGTAATTCAAGTGTACAAACAATCGAATCTTTAACATTGATGTATAAAATTTCTCTTTCGAGGAGGAAATCTTAGAGCACAAGCTTGGTTGGATGCAACCAGTTAACTAGTTGTCTAAAGAAATAGCTCGTCATAATTGTTTTTGATTCTTTATTCATTCAGTGAACATGAGTGTTATAAATCCATTTATAAATTTTTCGTGTTCTAGGTTGAATCTAACTTACTTCATTAAAACAAGTGAATTGGTGAATAAACTTAAAAAAATACAAACATTTCAGTCGTTATAATTAATTAAACGTATTAAGCATCTAGATAGGAAAAGATACTGACTAGCGTTGTGTAACTGTCGTAATAATGGTATTTGTCGGGTTTGACATGAGCGCGTAAAATGCATGTGTAGTGATTCCTTGAGAAAATTTTCTCTGTTTCACATTGACCTACGATTAACATTCAGTTCGCAATAAGCTGTTAGTGTTACTTAGAATGACAAATCATTGGAGAAATAAAAATGAAGCTAGTTCATTATTGTGTGGGATATGTAGGCATTCCTGAAAAGGATGACTTATTTGGTATGAAGTATTATCGAATTTTAAGGATTCATTAAAAGGTATCTTCCCAAACAATAATAAATCATTATTCTTGAAGACAAATAGGTGAATAAATATCATAACTTTATATAGTTAAATGCTTTTTCACCTGAAACATTTTTCAGTTTCCGGCAAGTAATTACAAAATAGGCGCCATATTGGAGTTTTTCTTAATTCTTGACGTTCATGAATCATGATGAACCTTTCTTTTTCAATGTATTCTCTATGAAGCTTAATTGAACTTCATAAATATTTGCTGGAGTAAAATAAAGACCTATATTAAATGACGATTTCATTTGTTACTGTACTATAGTAAAAGAGAATATTAACTATTGTTTATCTAAACTACAGGAGTCGATATTTTAACACGTAACGATTCGTACCTTTACAACTAATTGACTGACACTTATGCATAGGCAAAAAATTCATCATACTTTCTTTATGAAAATAAGGTATGTTTATGAATTACAGTTCTATGTTCAACTGGCAGTTTTCTACAAGTAATATCACAGGATTTGTTATTATCACATCTTGTTTTCATTATTCAATGCTTTTTGTAATGATCTATTTTACTGTCAGTTGTTTCATTTAATCTTACATCCAGCGCACATTTAAACTAATGTAATTTAATGTTAATTACTAGCGCACACGACAAAATGGAGTAAATCTATCAATCAGATAATCTGGATAGATCGTTGTTCCCCATCTATCAACACAATATTTATTTCTGAAAATTAAGTTTTTAATGGTTATCAATAACAGTGAACATATTTTAAGGACAATTTACGATTGACATGCCTTAATAGTAACTAAGCTACAAAATAAGAATTTCTGAATAACAAGAACAACAACTGAAACTATCAAACGCACAGTATTAACAGTATTAATAATTCCACATGTTTCAATATACACCTGGAAATTCTTAATATAAAATAATATTTGTAATCAGAAATTCTCTCTTTACAGTTATAAAAAGTCATCATAAACCATAAAGGGGTGCATGAAAGCTAGAGAATAAACAAACCAATTCACAGATACATCAAGTCAGAGAGAGCAGGCTTCAATTAAGAGAGGTTATTCCAGTTAATAAACATAAAGAAACTTGGCTCATAACAAATCTGATCAGACAGTGTTTATTAACGAGTCTTAAAAAATCGATTTACACAAAATTACTATACTAACTAATTGTCTAATTGCAAATTATTTTAAACCTGTCTTACATTCAAGCAAATTGGAAGAAAAGCTCACTTTACAAATATTCAACGATATTAAACTGTAAAAAAATACTTTCCTGACGAAATCAAAATTTTTCTCTGATTTGATTCAATTATTTAATATTAAATAGACTAATCGAAATTGAGCTTTGTACAGAGAAACGTCACAAAACAAAACAACTGAAATTTGAATTTTAAAAAAATGCAAACAATTTATGGTCTATCCAATAATTTATCATGTAAGTAATTTGAGATCTTTAACAATTCGTCAAGAATTTTTTCAAGTCTTTTTTCCGTTTAATTTTTAAATATTTATATACATTGTCATCTATTCAATTATTCCAGTTACAGAAAAATTATGGTGAACATTGAAACGTGAACTCGTGATTTTCATTTTATACTGTTTTTGTCTTGCCCGTTCAATTCTTTTCCAGTCATTTTTATAAAGAACAAAAATTGGCGACATACAGAATTTTCATTTTAAAATTAGAAACTGTAAAAATATTATTTAAGGAATTCATATTCAATCTGCTTTAATTCTACGGTAGATAATTGGTAAATTTCCACCTTAGTTATTTTTATTCTTGATTCAATTATCATCTTTCATTTGGTTATAATTAGTTTAGGATTGGAAATTTAAAACCTTATTCGGTCACATATTTTTGTTATGCACGCATGTAATGAGTGTTCCGAAAAATTTCTATGATAAACAAATTAGCTAATTAAAATTTTGTGAAATGTTAGGTTAGGCGTTTCGCTAAGACTAGTCGAGTCTGGCCTGTTTTTTGTAATTAATTTTCATGTATGCACAAGAATGTAAGATATTGGACACACTGAAATATACCCACGTTACGTTGTTTGAAAATGAGTATGAAGAAAGCGGTTCGCTAATTTTCAACTCTAGATATGATCATCACTGAGCGTGGTTAACTCAAAGTTTAGTATTTATAATTATTTTCTTTTATGCATAAGCTTTAAAACATTACAGATATACAACAGTAGAAACTTTGAAGTTCCTGTCACTCTAGGAGTGACGCTTCACGATTCACTTATGAAGTCTACTAGATGAAGATGTTTTGTTATGTAGACTGAAAACTGCTTGTTTTAAAAACGGAGACTAATCGAGGACTTGAAGTTCTCAAGAAAATTACAGGTTGTCGGATTTTCCTCTGACTAATAACGAACCGATTTCGATTCAAAACTTTTATCTTCGTAAGTTGATATGCTTGAAACTAGTACCAGTTCACCCTAGACGGCAAACGAGAGCGAAGACAAATAATCCAGTGACATGATAGGCTACTCTTTTCCGAGTGTCGCAAGGCCCCACTAAGTACAGGAAGATGTCTTGATATGGAGTAGAATGTGTATTCTACAAGCACCCAGAAATCGAGGTTAACAAGCACACAAATCGGGTTTATTTATATATGATAGAAATCTCCTTGGGAGAGCCACAAAAATAGCGTACTAAAATAATACATCGCCCAATGACAGTCAAGGATTTCCGAGTGGGAAATGAATTCTCAAAATTAACTGCTCAGCACATGTGCGAAAGCATAAAATCCAAAATTAGATCCTTTATCAAGTGAGTTCTGAGAACCTAGTGTCCCCAACAAAAACCCATATACAGTTCGACAGAAGCGAGAAGCGGTGTACTATTGTTTTATTTCACACTAATATCAGACCGGTACTATACGTCGAATTATTTGAAATTAGTTTCTCATTTATCACTAATCAGATTTTGTACACATCTTATCTGAAAACCACACATCACTGATTATTCAGTGACTTACTGGAGAACATCGATTTCCTAATGATAAATTGAATATGTCATAGTTTGAAAATTTGCTTAGCAAGCTACATAGTCGTTTCCTTTACCAACAGTGTCCAATAAATCTTCTAGATCTTATTTCCGTTCAAGTGGTGGATCCAGTCAATTGAATACAACAATCAATGCTTGTTATTAAATTATGAACTTTGATATTGCTCGCTGTTCTAAAATATTGGTCCTATGTAAGTACACATTAGTAGCAACATTTGTAGATACCGTAATCATCTACCTTATTTTGTGAATTATGATTCATCCGAAGTAAAATCCATTAATCATGTGATACTAGTAAATTATATAATTGAATGGAATTTTTCTATCAACACTTTCCAATCACAAAACTGTTATGTTCGTCACTAGGTGCGCTTGAAGCTATTACGAGTTCACCTTAGTCGATAAACGTGAACGAGACAATTACCAGCGTCCAGGTAGGCTACCTTGATTCCAAACTGCAAAAGAGAAGTCTTGATAAGCGTAGAAAGTATATTCTAGAACACCCAGCAAGCACAATACAATCAAGCACACAACTCACGTTTATTTATACATCATAGAAAATAGCACACTAAAATACACAGCAGCCAATCACAGCCATGTATTTCCATGGTGGGAAATGAAATCTCAAGGTCATCTGATCAGCCCATGCTTTCAAACGTGAAAACCAAAATCAGACATTTATCAAGCGAGTTTTGGGGATCTAACATCCCTTACAAAAACATTGTTTGTAATAAACTTTTTAGCCGGAATTTCTATAATAACATACGAAAATGAGAATGCTTTTAACATTTTCTGATTCTACTGATCATTTTGTTCACATTCTTATAGTTTTTTTTATACATCAACTCAAAGATAACTGGGTTTTTAGAAATATTAAGGCTTATATTTAAGATACCGTTGACAGGAAATACAATATTCAGATGATACAATCTTATATTAATCATAAAAGTATACTTTTAGTGAATGAAAATCTCTTTTCTGCTTTACTTAAAAATGATACTACTTCTACAAAAGAAATTTATTATTCCATTCCTGTGTTTTTACCTTCCGTCTGACAACAGAAACACGCCCTTTTGTAGACAACTTTGAAAGTCGATAAGAAACTTATTCTTATTGTCACTGTATTAATAATATCAGTAAAAGTAGTATTAGTAGTATTATTATAACATCTGATATCAATATTTTCTTGATGAATTTGTGGTCGCATATGGTTTCATAGAGACTGAATATTTGCAGAAGAAAGTTGGTTCACTCAGACAACAAATTCTGACACAATTCTATTGATATTTATAACATAAATTTATCTTTCATAAAATGACCACGACATAAATAAGTTGCTAAAATATCCTGCGATTTATTAAGCCATTAAGTTTACAAATAAGAAAAATTCACTAAACATTTTCTGTTGCATTTATCAAGCTGACTGCTTTTAAAATCATGTTAGGACTCATAATGATGATAAAAATGTATTCTTAAGAAATCTGTAAAAGCTGTGTAAAAGTTCCACCTGATATATCCAAACTGCCTCATTGCCACAACAATGTTAACAGAATGTGTGCAATATCGAAAGACTTAAGTTTAATACCTAAAATAAGTTCATGGTTGTTTGTAGTTGTAAAAAAAGTAAAATATTATAAATTGTGTGACAAGTATGAAGGTGTACATTCAAAAGTTAACCATCTAACATAATTGAAACTGAACTGATGTAACCATTCACTTTTTCAGTTATGTTCCAATACTCAAGAGCAAGACAAAGTGTATATTTTATTGAACATGTTGCTAAACTTCATATTAGATTTAGTAAATAGTTAATAATATCGTTCAGTAATTTTTTTAAATTAAGGTTCGTTTACCTCAAGAAAACTGTGCCTGTCCTTAGTTTTTCAGTCACTTGTGATCATGTAACAAAACTGACAAGTATAGTATTCCTTAGCTTCATTCTAGTCAGGTAAGTTGAAAACCAATTACTCAAGTAGTTTTTGATTCAACTGTCTTGTTCTGCCTTATCCGTTTCTGATGCTAATAAAAAAGTCTTCTATTTTTGTATGCCCAGCTGACTACTCGAATGAGAAGTCTGTGAGTTAGAAGGAAGGAATCAATGAATAACCTAACACTCGTTCACATATATGTATGTTTATGGATATTTATTTCCAGAAATGCAATGTATCTCATACCCTGGAAAAAGAATGCAAGTCTTGACCAATCGAATGCACTAAACATTTGACCATTGTCTGATCGCCTCATTGTATCACAGATAAAATGTCACAGTAATTTGTTTGCTTTAAATGATTGGTTTAATATGTAATACCTTTAAAAAAAGGATAAAGATACAGTTATACTCATGAATAAAAAACTTTACGGTTAATTTATTAAAACTATGAATAGCATTTTTTATTTGCAATATGGTCTGTCACATATGATGAATATTATATCCATAAGCTACTCAAGGAAATTTCAACACTGGTTATTCTTCACAAACTGATACCTGATAAATAAGCTATGAGTAACTAAACATATCTTAACCGCATCATATCGTTATGTCCAAAAGCTGCAAGATGAAATGCGTCTTGTGACATATAAGATGAACAAAATTACAAATGATGTAATGACCTAATGAGGAGATTTAATTCGCACAGTCCTTTGTCACAAATCAACTCAAGCTATAAATCTAAACTGTTTTTCTCAACATATGATTCAGTCATTGTATTTTCGAGTATTTATAAAATTAATTTATCTTACTATCAATGAGTTAAAGATTGAAATAAAACAGATTTAATCTGTCTTAAAGCTAATATCACTTCACAATGAAGCCTAACTATAAGCTGTACAAAACTATGTTTTACCTGTGAAAGAATGGTTGCATCCTCTACATTTTGCTTTAAATGCGATAGGTTTATTATAGTTTTTCATTCAAGTTATTGGATGTCATTAAATATATATATATATATATATATATATATATATATATATATATATATGGATGTTAAACGAAAGAATTGTTTACAGTGAACTGTCTAAACCAGCTCACTTCTTTCGTTTCTCTTGAAATAGTATACAGTCTTTACTTATCTAAACTCATTGATCTTAATTCCTTTTCAATAACATTTCATTACATTAGTTGATAATACTTGTGACACCTTGAAACATTCACTTCATATCAATAAGAATAACATTAACCTAACGTTCATCATATCAAGTAACGTCGATTGTTTTCATTTGCTTAACAATTTTTGTTATTCTTTCATTTATTTTTGCTCTTCTTTCTATTCTAGAAGGTGAAAAATAATTTACACGAATTATTTAATCCAGCTTTTAGTTGGGTACAAAAAATGGTACAAACTTTAGTCTATGAAAGTGAATTTAAATCTACACCAGATACAGACAATACAGATAATAAATGTACAACAAATTATCCAAATATGTTCTTTCAAAATATTCATCAAGGATCAGAGTTTGATTTGCTACATAATACAGTGACTTCAACTATTACTTCAAATACAATGAAAAATTTCACTAGTCAAAATAATATACCCAACAATCAAATTGATATTTCATCATGTAGAACCACAGCATTAGTTGAATCAAATAATTTTAACGATCTGACTTCGTCGAATACTTGTCATGAATCAAAACAATTGTATGAACAATTAACTAAACAAATGAATACATTAAATCAAACAATGAAACATAAACATTTTAGTATGCTTCCTTGTGTAACCAGTACTTACAATAGTACTTTCAATAATCCATTTAATCCAAGTACTTATAGATTCACTTCACCGACAAGTTTACCTACAGTTGCGACATTACCAATATCGAATCAGCCGAAATTATACAATTTACAAAATGATTCAACAAAATATTTCACATATGATGGACAACATCGTAAATTCTATTTGATGGCACGTTATTTACGTTCAGCACAAAGACAACGTAGACATAAACGACGTATACAAAAACGTCTTCAAGAACAGGCACGCACTGAAATGAAAAGACTTGAAAATGAAAAACTATATGGAACATCCTTTAGTAATCAGAGTACCCAATTACCTGATGATAGAAGACAAAATATGTATAAAATGAAGTCATTAGTTAGCATATCTGACGATAAAGCTTCAACAAGCTCAACTGTACTCAGTGGGCCTGGTGCAGAAGATGATAATTGTCGAAGAATACGTTTATTATGCTGGAAAGACATTGATATCGATTTAGAAGTACGTTCAATAGATGAGAATTACGATGATATGCGTAGCCTAAAGAATATTGAAAATACAAAGGATCGGAGCACGATGACAATCATCGATGGTGCAACTGTGATTGTAAATACAAATGTATCAGAGCCAATAACTCAAATCACCAGAAAACGTTCAACAAAAAGTTCAATGGGTAGAATAAAATGTAAGCAAAACCACTGTAAAACTCCTAATTCAAAATCACACATCAGTCTTAAACAGGCTACCCAAAGTGACTTGTCCCCAGTGTATACAATGACTGAACCGAAAAATGAAGAAACAAAGTACTTCACAATGCTCAATAACAATCCAACCTTAAGTCCATATCTACAATCGCCACTCACAGCGACATGCTTATCATCTAAACCTTTTCAAAAATTATTCACACATACAATTACTACATCAAGTGGAGGAAAAACTTATGATAATGAAATGTTATCAGACTCAAATAGACCCAATCTTGTAAATATACACAAGTCGCATCATAGAATACCTATGAATAAAATCCCTGATTCAAAACCGGGTCTATCAAGTCTACCAATACACAACTCACTCCAACAAAAACAAACCTCACGTATTCCTACTACTTTTGTAAGTGAAACTAACATGCCACCTAAATTGAATCAAAATTTAGGCATTTTTCCGACTTTCACTTCACCCAGTCTTCTAACCGATTCCTTTCATCAATCACAACCTAATCAGTTTTCTACAATGTCTTTCCTTCCTGAATCCCATAGTTTACAACCAGACACTTTTCAAAGACTCTGTCAATCCACAGTAATTGCCAATCCATTCGCAACCTGCGAAACTGCATCACATGATATAAAACCTGAACAACTGGGTAGATCACGTCTTTCATTGGCTTCATCACGTGGCGATTTAAACAGTGAAATAGTTGTACAATTAAGCTACTATTCGCAACGTGGTAGTATGCAATCTGAAGAAGATTTATCATTTTTTTCTTATCGTGATGGCTTTTCTGCAGAAGAGGACGTATCCAAAGTGACTGTACCGATTAGTTTATCACTAATCATTATGACAACTTACATACTTATTGGAGCTATTGTATTTTCTATATGGCAAGATCCTGACTATTTAAAATGGTCATATTTTTGTTTTATTACATTATCAACGATTGGATTTGGAGATATAGTTCCAGGTAAGGTTTGACAACTAGCTAGTTGATTGATCAGACACCTGTTTATTTCTTAATAAATCATAATGAATGTAAAATATCCATTTCATGCTTAAATTAACTGCATTGTAGTTGACTTTAAATGGGCTAACCTGCCTTGAACATAAAAATTGTTGAATTCAGTCCATGAGTCGACAATTAATAACTGAAATATTTTATTTCTTTCTATGATTCATTAGCATTAGTGACTCCAGTCTGTACGAACGACTTTATATGCTATAAAATAACTCTTCCCTTCAACACTATGAGAAGGCATGACTAGGTATTTATAGTCAGGAAAAACAGGCTATACATGTGATAATAGAAGTAGGAATGTACATAGGCTTACTTATCTACGTGCGCCTGTTACTCTCATTCGAGCCTAGGCCGCCGACCAGCATTCTCCAACCCACTTTGTCCTGGGCCTTCCTTCTCAGTTCTACCGAACTGTTATTCATTCTTTTCATGTCTGTTTCCGATTCTCAACGTAATATGTTCTTTGATCTTCCTCTTTTCCTTTGAACTTTGAGGGTTTCAATTTGAGGCTTGCCTCGTGATGCGGTGGGGAAATTTCTGCTAGGTTTGTCTTACTCATCTCTAGCGCCTTCTTCTAATTTATTCCTTAGCTGGAATCTGGTTCGTTCTTTCCCACTGTAGGCTGTTGCTGATGGTGTCTGGCCAACGAATCCGAAGTATTTTGCGTAGAGAGCTGTTAATGAACATATGAATCTTCTGGATGATGGCTTTTGTAGTTCTCCAAGTTTCTGCTCCATATAGTAGAACATTTCCAATTGTATTGGAAATTCTGATTCTGATGTTTGTTGATAGTTGTTTTTAGTTCCAGATGTTGTTCAAATGTAGAAATGCAGCCCTTCCTTTGCTGATTCGCGCCTTCATACCTGCATCGGATCCACCTTAATTGTCGATTATGCTGCCCAGATATGTAAAGGATTTAACGTCTATCAAGAGTGAATTAGTTTGTGAACGTTAAGTTGTATCGGGGAATCTTGCTTTTCCCTTTATGTATGTTGAGATCTGCTGCTACTGAATCTGCCGCTACACTGGTCGTCTTTTCTTGCATTTGTTGCTACGTGTGCGATAGAAGAGCCAGATCATCTGCGAATTCCGAATCCTTCAGCTGCATCCTGGCTGTCCACTGTTTACCGTCGATCACCAGGAGGAAGAAAACCCATGAGAGTGAACAACCTTACCTGACACCGGTCTTCACCTCGAACGAGTCTGTCAGCTGCCCTCCATCCACGATTTTGCAGTTTGATCCACCATAAAAATTTCGTATGATGTTGTCTATTTTCTCAGGCACGCTGTAGTGTCGAAGAAACCTTCACTCAGTTCACGTTATCAAATGCTTTCTCGTAGTCAAGGAAGTTTATATATAGCGGTGAACTCGATTCAGTCGAATGTTCTACAATGATCCATAGTATCGAGTGCGATTGGGTCAGTACAAGATCGAGCCACACGGAGTCCAGCTTGTTGATCTGGAAGTTGGGCATCTACATAATACTTAATTCTGTTTAACAACACTGAATTGAAGACTTTGCCTGTTATTGATAGAAGAGTGATGCCTTTAGAGTTCTCACACAGCAATCTCCTTTCTTTGATATATTGATGAGGCGTCCTTGTTGCTAGCCTGTACTTATTCTTCCTCGCAAATCTTGCTGAACGAGGCTTGAAACATGTTACGTCCAAGTTTTGCTCCTTCCCGTTATTGAAGTACAGTATGTCGATCTATTTACAATTCACGAACCCAAATTAACAACAGAACCAAACTCCAAAGTTAGGTACCAAAGTTTATTTGCAATTCACAAATAGTCGACCAAAATGTCGTTCTAACAACAATAATTATAATAATTACAAAAACCTTCAATTTTATAGGTTCCTGGAGCAAAAACTCCCAATTAGCAAACCAAGACAAACAGAAACCAAAAATGTCCGGAAATAATAAGTCAAACAAGTTCATAAGTTAATTAAAACAAATATACCCAAAAAACACAGTGAAATTAATGATATTTATATAAAGGTTTTAATCAGCCAAATGTCTTCATTTCTCCCGTAACAAAACATCCTTACTGTTACTGTTATATCTTCTTTAAGCGTATCAGCTGGAATAATGCTTAGTTCTGCTGCTTTTCCACTATTCAGTTGTCTGATGATCTTGATGATCTCTTCAATTGTTGGTGGATCACCAATAAGTGTCAGTCCTGTAGGTGCTGCTTCGATGTTGAGTGTGTTCGTTGAGGCTGGTCTATTCGAGAGTTCTTCAAAGTTCTCTACCCACTTGTTTCAGTGATCTTCAATGTCGAAGATTGTTTTGCCATCCTCGTTCTTTACTGGTCGTTCTGGTTTACGATATTTTCCAGAAAGCTTCATCGTTGCATCATGTGGTTCTCTCATTCTCTCATTCCCATTCTCTTGAAGCTTTTTCTGCTGTCGTTGCAAAATCTTCCACATATTTACGTTTGTCAGCTATGATGCTACTCTTCCTTTCATTGTTAACTTCTGCGTATTCAGCTTGTGCTTCGGCTTTATCTGCTGTTTTTCGACTGATATTGATTACTGCCGTTTCCGTCTTCCTTTCCTGAATTTTACCCGGAGTACCAAAAGAGATCTATTCATTGCAATCGTGATTGTTGTATACCATAACCCCTTAGCATGCTGAATTTAATGCTTCCTTGGTCTTTTACTAGTTGTTCTCCATGGTAATTTCCTCTCCACTGTGTAGATCGTAAAAGACTAAGAATGTATTGCTGAGTGTTATGTTAAATTCGTCGAATTTGCCAGTATTCCGAAGAAATGCCATACTAAACTTCTCTGATTCTGTTCTCCGGGTTTTCCAGTACTTCTTCATTTTTGCCTTTGTCAAGTGGTTATCTGAAGCTATATCGGCTCTCCACTTGGTTCTTACGTCCTCTATTGTCCTTCTGAACTTTTTATTGATGGAGCTATGGTCGACTTGGTCCTGAGTAGTGTGATCCGATGAAATCCATTTAGCTTTGTGTATACGTTTGTATTGAAATGTTGTGTCACCCATGACCAGGTTTTAAAGACGCGTAGATTTATACATTTCTCCTTGTTTTCGTTCCTTTCTCCCATTCCATGTTGTCACATGCTGTCTTCATATACTGTGTTGTCCAATCTAACCCTAATGTTTAGTTCTCACATCAGAATCATAAAATCCTTTGTTGGGCACTTGTCGGCCTCTCTTAAAAATTGATTTTCATCTTCCTCATTGTTATCGTTGGTTGGCACATAGCAATGGATGATATTCCTTGTGTTCCACTCTCTTTCATTTAAATGATGTTTTGATGATTCAGGGTTCATAAGATTTCCATCCTATAAGAGTTTTGTGCTCCTTTGGAAAGCATCAGCGCCACTCCTTGTGTATGTAAGGCACTTTCAACTTCATAGCCGGAGTTTCACTGATTCCAAATACCACCAGGTTGTGTATTTTCATTTCTGCAGCAACTTGGATGACTCTTCCGGTCTCCCCCATTGCACAAACATTCCACCTGCCTAAATAAACCGTTGCTCTGGTTGTGATAAGGGGCATCAGTCTTGTTACTTCCGAAGAAACTCTATTTTTATCGTAAGACGTGATAACTCTTCTTAATGAAGATCTCTCAACTCTGAAGGCAGAGTTTAAATGGTTTGAATTATTTGTTGTGGTTAGCGATTTTTATACCAAGTTGATTTTTAACGGGATGGGGTCGTCCCATGCCCAACCCTCCTTCTTTGCCTGGGCTTTAGAACGAAAGTGATCCCAGAAGGTCTCCAGGCAGAGTTATCCACAGACCAATGATATGAGCGTATAATAGAGAAGTTCGAAATACATATAAATAGCTTGAGAAGAATGGATTGATTAATTTGTCTAAATGCTAGGACAAGCCTTGTGGGCTCGACATATTTTTACATACACTACATACACTACAAGCACCAAGCATATAGGAAACATTAAGAGATCAGCTTTGAAGTAAGTTTACCTTTTTTCTCACTAGCAGCCCTGGAATGCCTTATTTATTGTAAATCAGTAAACAAAAGTCAGTACTTATCTCTCCTGAATAGGCTATGAATCCTATAATGCTGCGACTTGTTTAGAGGGACTGTCCTAAACTGAAATGAGCCACGTACGATTCGATAAACAGAAATAAAATATAGTAAATATAATTTTAATACACGTTAATTATCTGTTGAACTATACCTGATAATAAAACAAATATCAACTTTACTTATCCAATAGGAATAATAACGTTAACATTGTGTTATCCATTTCCTTAATTACTTTGTCATATTTTCTTATAACTCATAGTTACTTTGTGTTACCGACTTTGAAAAGAAAGTTGGAAATAAAGAGTTAAATTAAAATATAAAATTATTATTATCATCCAAAAACGAGTAAAACTACACACTTGTAACTGTTTCCGGATTTGGTTTGATGCTTAAGTACTTCAGTGTAATGATGTATTCTCGATTATAATATAATTTTTACACTGAAATAAAGATACAACAAGGAGCTCTTCAATTCAAAATTATTAAGCGTTACCCATCTTCTTCTGATATTTACAATAGTTTATAAAAAAAAACATAAGGTTTTGTGTTCATTCGAACAAACGGAATCCCATAACATTTCACATCAAAAAATAAAATTTAAATAAATTAAATTTGTAACTCCATTTCTACGTATGGTTCTTTTTGTGAATACCTTTAACCAATGAAAAACGAATGAATAACTTGTCTCTTTCTGAATGCATAACTTGTATTATAACAAACCAACATGAGCAAAATCATATTGAGATTAATACAAATATCATCAGTTACGATTTATGATCGCTGGTTAGTTTAGCGTAATGGCTTTAGATAGAAATGTAAACCATTGGATTATGACTCAGTTGTCTGGAGGTTAAGCGGTTAACATGAAACACTGTCTAATAGTTTTGATTACTAGAGTAATCGTAGATGAAAACTCGTGA